TTTTTTTTCTCGCAGCTAGTAGGCTAACATAGTACTATTTACCCAGAAACCCGAAGATCCTGATTTGAGGAAAGAGGCAAAAATAAGAACATTGGAATTTACATGCGGGCAGGAAAGTATACTTGCGGCCGCATAAGTACGTTTTTGAATTTAGGGTATTGCAGTTTGTGGTTTGACAGAACAGTCTTCGCAGGGTGTACTACGGATTTTAGGAAATATACGGAGGAAAGGAGAGAGGGTGCGGATGAGAGAGGGGGTGGAGGGAGCGTGAGCGCAGGGTGGATAGAAAAAAAAAATGTATTGAAACAAAAACTTTCTTTTCCGCCTGAGTGACTGGCCCCGCGCGACCCTAATGATGATTAAAAATTTCACGTCCGAGGGGGAGGGGGAAGGGGTGCGGCGTGGCGCTGAAGCTATTACAGGGAGAAAAAGAAGCGAGGAGGTATAAAAGATCTGCGAATGGACGAAAGGGACGCGAAATATTGCGAATAATGACAGCACGCTACTACTTGTTTTCAACGGGTGATCTTTTTACCTTTCTTTTTTTTCTTTCGAAGACAGAAAAGGAAAGATGGCATGTACCCTACCTCTCTAGGGGTGGTGCAGCGGAGCAGCCTCCGAGACAGCGGATTTGTCGCAGAATCATCTCGAGGACGAGGAGGTGGTCGTCAGCAGACCAGAATTGCTCCTTTAACGTCGTGGAGGGGGGAGGCGAGGGGGTCGCAAAGAACGGCCGGCTCGGGCCCTTGATTGGATCCCCGAGAACAGTATAGCCTGTGCGAATCCGCGAGCTTCTCCGCCCGGGACACTGTCGGAAAGAATGGTACAGCCTGCAATCAATAAGGTTAGAAAATCGTAGGGCTGTACGAAATAGTCATAAAGTACGTACCCAGGAAACGTCCGGAATGATGCTTGTGATTTTCGAGCCACTGCTGAGAAGCTATTTTAAACTTTGGCGCGCCTTTTCTGTCTGGGTGGCGCCATCTTGGGTTACCTTTACAGAGTCCCGCCTCCGGCCAGACTGACGACCGATTATTGCTTTTCCTTAGTCGATCCTACTTGAGGAGAGGAAGCGCGGCGCGGGCGGCCAGAAAAAAAGGCACATAAAACAGGAACTTAGCGGGAAAGAGCAAATAAAAAATGAGGCGATGCGGGGAGGGAGGGGTGGTGCGGGCGGGCGGTGGAGAGGAGAGGAAAGAGATTTAGCGCGACAGAGAGACGGACTCCCGGATTAAGAAAGAGATTTGTTGGTGGTGGGGGATGCGCGCGCAAAGAGATTGGGGGCTGTGATTGATTAATCGCCTTATACGTAGACCGAGATTGAGGACATCAGGTTTTTTTTTTCTTTCCTCCAACCCCTACTTTTTTATTGCTCGAGTGGGCGGCGGGGCGGGGCGGGCGCCGTATTGCGCCACTTACCACTGTTATGTATTCATGAGGAACCGCCCCTGTGTCATCTTCAGAGGGGGTGGTGGTTGCACTGGTGGTTATGGCGAGCGGTAATTTTATTACTACCCCCTGGTGGTCCACATTCTGTTCTGGGTCGGAGATCTTTTCACATTACAAGAAGGAAGTAGGCAACTCCGCGCACTAAACGTGTCACTTAAATGTGCATTTGCGGTTTTTCTATGTACACTATTTAAGACGCCGTGGCAGCTTTGCTTGCAAAATTTAGACATTTCTTTTTAACTGCCAACTTTGGGCATTCTATTTCGCCCTTTCTCAGCCTCTTTTAATACAAATTAGACAAAAAAATTGCCAGAGGCAAACAAAAATGAGGTAAAAACAATGTGGTAGTATTTTTGAAAGCAAAAAGGCCCATGGCGTCGTTTAGACTCGGCTTTACTACTAAAGAGTGCACAAAGTGAATTGCTGTCCTCAATGGCCTCTTGTCGCCGTTTCACGGTGACTACCTTTGCCCTCAATTCAACGAGATGCGGGAGGCCGTGGTCAAAGTGTGGCGTGTTTTCTGGGTTGCTCGTCTCTGTCACGTGACCTAGATGTGACACACACTGGGGTGCGGTGTCGGCTGGCGCACCTTATACGCCGATCGTATCGCGCCCTTTTTCATTTCCGCCTGGTTCTCTGTGGATGTTCCATCTTGTTTTCAATTCGCCGCCGCCGGGGGAGGCAAGGCGAGCCGCGGGCAGCACGAGCGTCACATCGGACAGCTGTGACGTGTACAGTCACAGAAAAAACATTATGGAAGGTGGATTTGATTTTATTATTTGACGTTGCTGACAACACAAACGACACTGCTCCCGTAGTGGGGCACTCAGAACCCACACAAGGGTTTAAAATTAAAAAAGGGGGAAAACACGGGGTTGTATTTAGTATTAAAAAAGTTAAAATATCATGATGCACATCACATTGTTCGGACAAAATATAGGAGAAATGTTCTCGCTTCTCTGAGAACATTCGATTTTATGCTGCTAGCTACGTTACAGGGGAATGTGTAGGAATTAAGACGGGGCATCACATGCTTTGGCACGAAAATAAAATTGATCAAGATTCTGCTAGACAAACATCAGCTATACACAACATACTTTGTACCACTTACAGTACTAGACTCAAGACAAATATAATTTTTCTGACTTGAAAAAGAAAAGAAAACAGAAGTAAGATCTAAACATTATTGCACTTTTCGACTTATCACGGCACATTTGCCGGGACTGACGGTGGAGGTACTTGCAAAAGGAGTGCAAGGCCTCACCTGAACCTTCTAAGGCTAACGCAAGAGAATCTCCGTTTCGTTATGTAGGGTAAAGCACCTACCGCGCCATACTTTGGAAGAAAAATGTCCTGACGACTTATTTCTGGCGTGGTGTCCCCGAGATCACAGCGACGCAAAAAGGAGGCCCTTCAGAATCATTAACAGCCTAGGTAACCTCCATTGCTTGTCTTTGCTGACTGAATATTTCACCTCTTACTTTTGCTCAGTTCTTCTTCACCTTCTTCTTCTGCTGCGCGGGAGCGTTGGAGTTCCAGTAGTAAAAGACCTGGGCGGCGGTGATGGCGTTGAGGGTAGCGGCCACCATGTAGGTGAACACGAGCAGCCTGTCGCCCGTCTCCTGCTGCGAGGTGAAGATGCGCGCCACGGAGCCCGCCAGCAGCATGAGCACGGTGGCGGCGGACAGCTGGCCGGTCGAGCCCGCGCTGTAGTTGCTGTAGATCTGGATGGTCTGAAACACGCCACATAACTTTCATAAGCCTCATTTCGGTCAAATAATGTGCAATGTGAACCAATTCGTCGCGTTTATTCAACCTCGTTCAAAATATGAGATGAAAAAGACCTGTTTTCGTGGGAATGCCAAAGCTTATTTGAAACCCCTTCGCCCCTGCGAAACCCTGCCTGAGATGAGGCTGAAACAGAGGGACGCGCCGAAGAAGAGCAACCCGAGAGGATCCCCAAGGAAGGGGCACCTCTTCATATCTGATGTGGCCGAAATAACAAGCCTGGGAGCTAATCATGATGACCAGGGGGGAGCGCAGGGGATCAGGAGGAGGCTCCGGGATCAAGCAAATTGAAAATTACGACTGATGAGGCTGTGGCAAAAGCCCGACCGCCACGCCCGGGCGTCACGCACGCTCCCGCTGCACGCACCTGACCGACCATCGCTTGTTCAGAGAGACGGCCGGAGCGAGAGGCACATTACATGTTCTTTGGAACGTTTAACCCACCTGGGCCAAAAGTTACTCGTAAAATGTTTCAGTACATTTAAATTATTTTTATTTTTTTTGAAAAATCAAAACCAAGAGAGGTTAAAGATTTTTTTTTATTGGGAAAAAGTGGTCTTAACTGACCGCGTGCATCTTGATTATAATATCAGTCAGAGACTTTGATTGACAGCATCTGCGACCTTCCGCCTTCGACGTGCACGGACCGCCCGCCCCGGGCCAGGCCGGGCCCCATCTCAAAGAGGAGCTGCAAGAGAGTTTCAGCCCGGAGCAGCCACTTTTGCAACAAAGTTGCCGCATATGAAATTAAATGCACTATAGTTAAGACATATAAAAGACAAAAGGAACAACAATGAGCAAAACCGCGTGTAGTCTTGCTCGAAGGTTTGCGTCCACATTGCAATAATTTGTAAACCATATCACAGCAGAAAAAAAACGGGCCGTTGCAACGAAGTAGGAAGTGTAGAGCACTGGAGTAGGAAGTGTAGTGCATCACTTTTACTTTAAGAGTACCCCTTGTTGGGCACACACACACACACACACACACACACACACACGCACACACGCACCAGATGGCGCCCCGGGCCCGAAACCACACCAGTCATTAATGTCACTAATCGACACGGAGCGAGGCCAGCCGGCCGATCGGGAGAGGTTCGGGGAATGCCCGCGTCCCGAACACTCCACGACGACGAGCAGCAGCGCGGAGCAGCAGCAGCGGCTTTCAAGTGTTCACCAACCCCTCAGTGCGGGATTAGTTTCCCTCTCACATAAACAACTACAACAAAAATGGCGGCGCGCGTTTTCTGACGGACCACGGAGCGGACATAGGGACGGACGGGGTGGAGGCGGAAAAGAGCGGGGGTGCGGGGGGGGG